TGTTAATAGACAGACTGACAGAATTCAACAAATGGAAAAAAACCTAAATCAAAACAAAACTAAAAACCCCACCCATGCACCTACCTAAAGGTATTTTAAGGACTGTTTATGTTCCACTGAGAACAGGATGTATATTTTACTAATACAAGTTTTGAATAGAGGACTGTTTAAAGAGTAATATATATCCACAAATGGAAAAAAACCTGAAGCGCTTCCCTAGATCCACCAGTTCTGAAAGCATTTGTAGGGGCCTAAGAAATCCCAAGCAGCTGTACACACATTTTCATTTCTAAACTGCAGTAGACTAGTTCAGGATATTTTCACTTGAATGTGACATTTTCTTCTTCTGAAGAAACAAGAGTGATTCAAAATTATTGAAAGCTAATCTGTTCTAGCTGAACATCATTTGAAGGCAGTCTTACTGCTGAGTGTTCAACCCAATTACAATTCCTCCTCAAAACAGATTAATTAGGTTACTTGTCCCTTTTTATGGTGTCCTTAGGCACTTGACCACAGCTAATAATAAATACCCAGTACTTTTCATCTCTAAAAAAACAAGCATCCCTACCTCTATTCTAAAGATGAGGAAACTGAGACATGAGTAAGCAAAGTCATCTGCCTAATGTCACCTAGATGAGAGCAGAGCAGCCAGGAATGAAATACAGGTCTTCACAGTCCCATCTGGTAGTATAACCCAACATGGCAAGGTACAAGTGCCCAATTTCATACACATTTATATACAAAACATAGTTGTATAATCTAAGACTCAACTGTTCGATTTGTATCATGCAGACTAACAAAATACTGAGCACTCAGTTCAGTCAGCACTCAATACTGACTCAGTTCAGTCACATTCACTTTATGAAAATTCTTGTCCCAGGTATGAAATGGAAAAAATAAAACAAACAAAAAACTACAGTGAGTGTGCCATCATATAACCCTAATTTACATATATTTCAGTTTATATTTCAGTTGTGGTACTGTTCATCACTATTGAAAAAAAACAAAAAAAGTTACCAAGAGATTTCAAACATGATTCTGTCATAACACTTCTGCTTTAAGATTCCTAAGTACAGCATCTTAGGAACTTAGATGACTATGGCATTAAAACAAAATATCCATTAAAAACCTCCTTATTCTGACAAATATAGAAATAAAGACATTTTTTTCAATGTTCTGTGATATTAGAAATATGTATTATGGCTGAGTTTGAAAAGTTAATTCCAGACGTAGTCCTTTACACTTCCATTTGAAATAACTGAAGATCTCTTACATGCTGTACTTCAGGGCACAGCCCAAGTTCTCTATCTTGACCAAACAATTTCATTTAAGCAAATAAAACCAAGTAATATGCTCTTTTTCCCCTCGTATTAAACAAGTATTGTTTTGAAAGCACAATTTTGAGTGAACCTAAAATTTTCTTAAAATAAATCCTGTAACATCAACAATAAAAGCCCCAAGTTTAAAAGATTTACAGTACTGTCTAGAAAAGAAGTGGTAGTGAACATCTAAAAGTACAAAAGTGTAACTACTATGCATACACAATAGTTTTATTTAAATACTCCTAGTAATAATTTCTGTTCACCTAGCCATATCAACTTACTATGCTGACATCTACCATCACTGCCAATGAAAGCACACATCTTTGGAAACACACACAACTTCACAAAAGACCTTCTCTTTTCTTTTTAATAATGATTTGGAAAAAAAAACCGAACAAACTTTTTTTCCATTAGAAACTTAAAATTTATTTCACAGATGCCTTATTTAACAGCCTGCAGCACCATACCTTAAAGTTTAATTTTATGAAGTAACAGGTTGCCACTTCCACCAGGAAGCAAAGAGTTAAAGACTGTGCAATTAACCTGAGAACAAGCACTGGAGAGGCTCCTTTACCTGGTGGACAAAGTTCTAAGCGAATGGAATGGAAGGCAACATCAGCAATAGTGGTTCTTACCCAAACTCATTCCCCCTCCTACAAAAAAACCTGTACTGGAGATAAAAAGAGGTAAAAAAGGGTAATCTGGCTTTATGTAATCTTTTCAATCTTTAGTAATCAGGCAATTTCACTGGTGAAGCTACTAAACAGAACAAACCAAAAGGAGGATTTTTAATGCCAAGTTTACTTCATATTATGCATTTGCTAACTACTGAGGAATAAGTGTTGCATTTTTCACCTTGAACAAACTCAGCTGAAAACCTGCTAAGAAGCAAGACATACTTTCCACATCTTATAAAAGAATGCATACCATATTTTGTAGGAAAAGCGGGACAAAAATATCAAGTGGATATTTGCTAGCAGAGGTTTTTAAGAAACTGCTTTATCTGTTATGGAGTCACTTTTTTAAAATACAAAACTGTCATTGTGAGAAGTGCAACCTAGGGCCTATTTAAGGCCTGTTTAATTAAGCCCAGTACACTTTAAAACAAGTACATGTACCACCACTTTCTTATTAGCAGTTAGCTATTTTGGTCTTTTGTTTTTTATATTTTCTCAGAATCCACTTCACATCCTGTTAAGTCAGTAGTTGTGACAGTCTGCCAGTCTTTTTATCAGGAGAGTTCAACTGATTCTTGACTAGTGATCCACTTTAATTAACTTGACCCAAGCCTAACAGTTTACTTATACCATGCTGGAGTACACAGGGCTGTCATAACCAAGTGCATGCAGAACACGCAACAGCAGAAAGCAATGTATTATATTGATCACTGACCGGTACTCACTCTAGAGTCCATGTCAGGAACAAGCTTGGGATTTACACTGGGTTTAGCTTGTTTTCAGTAAGTTTTCACGAGTATTAGCAAAACATCTAAACCATTGTCCATGATCTAAATCCATCCAACTACCTGACCCTTTTAACCTTTACTGCAACCACGCATTCTACAACTTCCTCATCTTTCTGCGCAGGATTGCAATATGCAAGCAAAAGCCCATTTTACATATAAGCACTTTTTAAGTCGGAGTTCTTTAGATTGAGGAAGTTCCCTCCTGAAGAAACATGTGTGAAATGGCGTATCTCACACTTCACAGCAGTTCTCTTTCTTTTCGGGCCATACCACTAAACCAACTTTTACGTACAGGTATATGAACAGCAATTTGTTTTCAAGTATTACCAAGAAGAGTTATATTAATGCCTTCACGTTTCACTGCTAATATACACCACCACAAACAAAATAGCATCTTTACAATGTTTCCTTCTAATATAGAAGTTCCTCTTAAAAATACCTAAAAGTTAGCAGTTCACGAAGCTTAAACCCCCGGGATTCCCGTGTTAACTTCTTACCTTTCTGTCCTGCCCGAGGAACTGTATTTATCAATACAGAAGTTACCACATATAATGGAAGAGGCAGTGCAATCAAAGAATCTAATCCATCCTGAATTTTTTTTGTTTTGTTGTTGTGCTTTGGTTTTTTAAAAATTACTATTTTTTATATTACCTTCTTTTTTTTTATTAATATCACTGTCAGTCTCATCTTTCAAGAAAAAAAAGCAACAAAACAAAACAAAAAACAAACCCTCCCCATTCCCAAAATACTCCATTCATTTCTGTTTAAAGTAATGTGAACCTCACTCTTGGTACTTCTACAGAAATGTTGCTTCCATTTATCTTGCCTGTAACACTACCATAGTTAGCTATTCACACAGCTCACCACTTCAAACAGGTTTACCAGCTTATACATCATCGTATCAAGTTTGTATTAACATAGTGATTCTTCCTAAGCACTTATGAGCCACTGATTAAAGTTCAGCATTTTAGATGGATTCTTAGCCTTCAGCCATCTCACGTGCTACAATATTAAGTAGACTGCTACATCTCTGTTGTGCCTTCTTTTCCTTTGTTACTCAAGTGAGCACATTGCTAACAGTCAAAATTACAGGAGAATTTAACAGCATTTGGGAAATAAAATCTCTCCTTTTCAAAAAATGCCTTTCTATTTTCTTTTTGAGCATTAAATTCAATACTTTCCATTTATGGTCTTCTTATTTCAGTTAATTGTCTATCTAATAAATTCAGACACACATTCTTTGCCTGGTTAAACATAACAACTTACATAGACTTAACGACGTATATTAAAAAAAAAAAAAAAAAGGAAAGCAAACTTTCTTCCGGACAAGGAAGCTTAAGAGGTAGCAGGTTGAGCTAACATTTAAAGATAAGAACACAAAAGTGAAGCTCCCGAATTGCATCTAACCCTGTTAACCCTGCAGCTGACAAGCAGAAAAGTAACACTTGCACAGGCAACCAAAAGTGGTCAAACTACAGGGATGAAAAACTCCAACCCTCGAGTCTTCAGGACTTCTAACAGTGTCGCGCGTTGTTTAGAGTTAGTTTTATGTAGTGACAAGAACCCTCGCGGTGTGACAAATAACGCTGTTCGCACCATTTTCTCCTCTTCCCGGGCTTCTCCTCTTCAAGGCCTATAAGAAGGAAGCTGCCGCGGCTGCTGCGCGGTGCCATGTCCAGGGGAGAGGAGGCTCTTTGCCTGACCCTGACGCGGGCGGCGGGGTGGCCCCGGGAGCGCTCGGCGGGGCCCGGACCAGCGCCGTGCCCGGGCGGCGGGGGAGGGCGAGAGCTCCGGGCCCCACAGCGGCTGCGGCAGGCTCGGGGCGGGCGCGGCAGCCCCGGGGCGGGCGGGGGGTGCTGCCGGGGCGGGGGGCGCGGCGCAGGCAGGCCCCGCCGGAGGGACGCGGCCGCTCGGCGGGGGAAGGAGGGAGCCGAGCGCAGACAAAAGCGGGTCGCGGCCGGCGGCGGGGTGGGGCCGTGACCGGGCGGCGGCGCCTCCGCTCCCGGGGGAGAGCGGCGGGAAGAGGCCTGGGGTGGGCACGGGCTTCCGCCACCGCCCCCCCGGCCCGGGGCTGGGTGTGGGTGCGGGGTGGGCGTCCCGCGCCGAGCGGCGGGCAGGGGGCGGCGGGGCGCGGCGGCTGCTGCGCGCTCCCCGCCAGGGAGGGAGGGGAGCGGGGCTGGGGCGGCGCTCCCGGGGCGCCCCTCGCCGCTTACCTGTATCTCGGTGAAGAGGATCTCCCTCTCGGCCGCGTTGGACGCCATTGCGCCGGGGTTTGAAGTCCGCACCTGGGCGCTGCTGCTGCCGCCGCCGCCGGCGGGGAGGGGAGCGCGGGAGGCGGGTCCGGGGCCGGGACTAAGGGCGCATCGGGGGCGGGGGGAGCGCTCCGTGCTCAGGCAGGCGGGCGGGCGGGGGTGCGCGGGGGGGCGGCCGCCGCCCGCTCTGCTCTCATGGGGGTCGCGCCGGGCGCGGGGGCGCGGTGCGGTACCCGGGCTGCGGTGCCCGCGATGCGGAGCGGAGCGGTGTCCGGGGTGCGAAGCGCTGCCCGCGGTGCGTTCCTGGCGGAGCGGAGCGGTGTCCGGGGCGCGTCGCGGTGCCCGCCGTGCGCTCCCCTCCCGGGCGCGGCGCTCGGCCCTGGCAGCGCCGCGGCTGCTGCGCCTGCGGCCGCCGCCGATGTCGCACCATTTGGCTGTCACCCTGTCGCAAACGCCGCCGCTGCTTTGCGGCTCCCGGCGGCACGTGACGGCGCGGGGAGGAAGAGCGGCCTCGCTCGCGGACGGCGCGCGACCCCCCCGTGACACCCCCGCGCGGGCTCCGCGGCGCGAGGCCCCTCAGCCCTCACGGGCCCCTCACCCTCCTCGGCCCCCTCAGACCCTTCTGCCCCCTCACTCTCCTCAGCTCCGCGGCCGCCTCGCCGCCTCCCTCTCTCCCTCCCTCCACACTCCGCCGGTACCTCTTCCCCGTCCGTTAAGCTCCAGTGCTGGGAAATCCTCCAGTGGTGGCGGGAGTTTGGGGGGGGGGGGGGCGTGTGGCACATCCCTGGTGTTGGGGGCTTTAGGGGCTCGGCTCCCCTAGGCCCAGGAGGCAGGTGAAACCCTCGGTTTGTGGGTTAGCGAAGGCAGGTAGCTCAGGAAGGAGAGGTCACGCTTGTCTCAAGCGCCCGGAGAGAGGGCAGCCACCTGCCGCCCTGGGGACCTGGAGCAGTGGCCCGGGAGGTTGTGGTGAGTGGGGGCTGTAAATGCCGTTTTTAATAGTTTAAAGGGCTAAACGTTTGTACTTGGGGTGCTCGGTGAGGTTTTTGGGGGGCTGGCACAATTCAGTCAATTTGCGGAGTAATGAGCTGCTGAGAGCTTCAAAGGCAGTTTGGGTGTCTGGGAGGAAATGGTTTCTCTTCCCTCGTGGCAACATGTGACACGACCATTTATTCTCAGCTTCCTGCCTGTTTCGAGTGTTGGTGGGTTTTTGCACCTGTCCATAAACATTCTTTCTGTTGTCCAGTCTATACACCTGTGCATTCTCATTCCACCCTAATACTGGATGCTACATTAGGCTAATTGGACTCATGCAAAATGCTCTGTGGAAGCAATTACAGCTGGTTTTGGTTTTTTTTTAGTCTGTGCAGACTCATATAAGCTGAGGCATTTTCAACAGATTTAACCTCATGCAAGGATCAGCAATTGTTCTGTTTATACTACTGCATCTCTGTATGGATACAGGCCAGTAGTAGTCTGTTTGCTCTAGAACTGCAAGTTAAACTTTGGAGGGTTGGGTTCGTTTGTTTTGGGTTTTTTGAGGAAAAAGGGAATGGGAGAAGTAAACATTTAAATTACCGCTACTGTTCCTAGCAAATTTGAAGCATTTTAAGGGTGCTTTTATTTCTACTGTTGAGCACCAAACAAACCTGACAATCTGAAGTACTATGCTACAGTACAAAAGAAGTTTATGAACTTATGCACACAGTTAATTTCACATAAAAGTAATACTAAGACAGTTCTACAGTATCAATGCACATTTTTACTGAAATTACACTTTTTCACTTACTTAAACCTATGTAGCCGTTTGATGTAGTTCATAGTCTTCCACATATGCAAATCTACATATAGACTTCGTTCACATGAAGCCAGTGGCTTAACTTCTGTTTTATGTGGCCAGGCATCTACAGGCTCAGGAAGAAAACTACTTGCTGGTTGTCTAAAACTCACTATTCTACAAAGAATACTAAAATTTGTGCCAGCACAGCTTCAGTGTCAGTGGTATGAAGTAGTCTTACTTTAGTGGTCATGTGTCAAAAGCCATGAAATGGATTTACTTGTAGAGCATGGTGTAGTTTTGGGCACATTGCAGGAGAAGGTGATGGGGGTTGGTGGGGAAAGAAAGACGTTTATAGAATAATTTCTCATTTTGAGCGTGATAGAATGATTCCAAACTGTATTTAAACTTCATTTGAACTGGTCTTGAGAATAGATGTTGAAGGATATAAAGAATTAATCAGAAATGACTGGGTTACAAGTGTCTTCGTACACTTGTCAGTGTGTATGTGGTCCATTGCTACAGCTCATCTCCTGGCCTGCTCCCATTGCAAAGGAGGAGAAGGAATGTGATTGCACGCGTATTTTATAAGACGTGGTGAGAGGGAAACACAGATTGTGCCCCAAAGAAAATTCATAGATGTATGAGTTAGTGAAGCAAAGTTAGCGAAGCTTGAGATTCTCTCTAAACACAGGCAGCTGACTTTGGTTCATGCTTAACCTAGCCTGCCTATTGAGTGTAGCCTAGAACATATTATTACCCCTCTCAAGACAAGGCCTGTAATCTTTTTTTGTATTCCCGATGTTATTTATGCAACTTGGAAAGACAAAGTCCTAGATTCTTTGATAGAAGTGTAGTGGCACAGGAATCAAAAGAGAAACTGGTTGATAACATTGCTTTAGCTGAATCTCTGATACTCAATCATTCTTCCTTCAGAGTCTGGAAAACACGAGGCAGCCCTGGACAACTGTAGCTCTACATTTAAGTACTGTGACAGTGAATTACTGAGCAAGCGGGAACATTCTGAGTGAGTCCCAAAATAGAAGGCAGTTAAGTACGTAAGTCCAAGAATTTAGCATTATATGGAATCCTGAGTTCATCCCGTGCCTTAAAATATCTGAATGCTATTTCTTCAGCCATTATTATGTTAGCTCATTCCTGCACTCAATTAGCATGCTAGAAAAGCAAACTGAATGAAAGGGATGCCAGTACAACTGGCTGAGGCCTTTAATTATTCCTTTTCTTCAGGTCGTGTTATTAAAGTCTTTGTCCCAAAGACCTGGAAAAGTGAATAGTTGAGACTTCAGTGTTCCTTATGCAAAACACCTTGTGAGCCCTTGAGCATAGTACAGAACTCTTGGAGGAATGTGCAGGGTACTGTAAGCAAAATTTAGAGTACTTTTTAGAATAGTTCTGACTAGTCCAATATACCACCTAAGGAAGAACTTGCTTTCACTGGGTGATGCATATAGAAGTGGGGACTGAGATGTGAAGAACACTAGATAGGAGTTAATTATATTATTATGCTTATTACTGGCAAAACTCTACCAGGAAAAAAGTAATTTTTTTATTTAAGCTTCTGGTTAATCTTGCTTGTTTAAATCGGTGATGTAGGTCTACAGGGACAACAATGTAGAGATGTGCTTGGGTATGGGCTAAATGAAACTCTCGGGAAGGAAGAAATTGGATACAATTCTGCATGTACTGTTAGTAGATGAGTGGAGGCAGAGCAATTCTAGGCCAGCCCAACACCTTTTTAGGCCCAGAATGAACTCCAGAAATTACCCCACCTTTTTAATGGGGTGGGGTAAAGGTTATTTAATTTTGCAAGTAATGTTGATACCTGTTAAAGGAAATCCTTGTCTCACAAAGTAGTAATGCTAAAATTCACAGTTCAAGTCTACTTTGGGATAATATTTAAATTCTTTCACTTAGAAATAAAGAAAACTATGTAAAAGAATTGTAGCCCTAACGTTAGTTTAAGAAAAACCCAATACCACCAACAGCAGATTTTTAATAATGCAACCATTTGTTGTCCCTGACTTCTAGACATGGCACTATTACTCTTGTAATACTGTGCTCATGTCTAGGTTGGATCCTTTGAAAATCTTATGAAATCCTGGAACTATAAGGCACAGAAAAAAAGCGATGGGAGAATGTATACATCTTTGCCTTCTTTGTTTGTTTACTTCAGCCTGGAGATGTTGAAAAAATAGTATATTAATGAAGAACAGTACTTTCTATCTTGCTTCTTAAAAAATTGTGACCATAGGAGAAATCCTTGTTTTGTAAAGCTTCCAATAATACATCTCACCATAGATTTAGAAATAAATGTCTAGGTCATGTTGAACTTTGAGTTAAAAAATAAATTAATATAATAATCTTTTTTAGACCAACAACTTGCTGGTGTTTATTTAAGAAAATGCCGAAAAGGAGAAAATAAAAAAATTGAAAAAAAAGTGTGGATAATTTTTCTTTTTTGAAAACTCACTTCTTCCATAGTACTTCAAAAAGTTAATTACCTGGCTTTCACTCAGATTTCTCAAAGGGAATTCTGTGTTAAGAAATGGCTCCTGAGAGAGAGCATAAGAGCTCTCTGAGGCTCTTACTGATGTACCACTGCCAGTGACGAGCACAAGTTGATGACATGTCATAAACAGAAAACTGAAATGAATACGTAAGTTTATTTAGCTCTTGTGGTGCTTGCAAATTTTGTGTATTCTTAAACTATTCCTTTATTACTCTTTTAATTACACAACTAATCTTACAACTTTTGAGTGGATTTCCGTGATGTAATCATAACCCTCCTAGCAATTGCTGCACACGTTCTACTTAAAATTTGTCTTCTATGTTTACATACTATTACCCAGGGCTGGGTGTAGGCATATAGTCACCCAGCCAAGTAGGCAGATGTTATGAGGAGTGGAGTGCAACAAACTTTATCTTACTATCTGTTTTAATAATTCTGGACCCTGGGAAGATTTGAAGACAGTGAGAAAAGAGTGCTCCAGGGGAAGGAGATTCATTCCTATTGTTGCCTCCTGTTTTTCTTTTCCATCCTCTTACAAGGAAAAATTGCCGTATGCCAGTTAATGTCTCTGGAACCTTGTGGAGAGGAAAGACCTACCTGTGCAGAACCAGCTGTAAGATCAGACCTCATTTCTCTAAAGAAGATCAGCTTGGATTATTTGAAGTAATAACAACATGCTTTATGTCTTTACAGTAAGGCTATGAGCCTACAAGTGGATCAACATGATCGATCTGTACACCTTTGCTAAGTCCCAGTGATTCTAATTAAACTTGATGGTGGGATCCAGCTTATACTTGGTGGTGTTTCTGCAATGAGCTGTGCCCAGATGGACTCTCATGCTTGCATTGAATGCACTGAGTGAATAAGGCCTGGTGCAGCATTGGTAACGTTGTTTTCAAACCATGTGGATAAAGGATCATTCCAAGCAAGGTAACTGTACCTTTGGATAGTTCCTGGTCTCATTGCTTTACTTCTGTCAGTTGCACGTGCATTCCTTCAGATGGTGACTAGTTGAAAGTACCTTAGTTTGTTACAAAACCAAGGCAAGATGCATTCAAGAGTGATTCACAGTATGTTCTCCT